ATCCTTTCATTAATGACGTCATTGTTTCTCCGTCTTTCCCCCCTCTGCCTCAATGTACTTTTCTTGACGAGATATCATCGTGTTTTTAAATAGTGATTGAAACTAATTTTGCATCTATGACTTTAAAAATTCATGATCAGCTTACTTCAAAACACAATATTGAAGATGGAACTACGCTTAAACGTTAAACAAGAGGCCCATGGGCCTTATAGGTCACCTGAGTATCATGCTACAACTTTCCAACAATTGAATTTGATTCATGTTTTAATTAAACCAAAGGCCATAAAATTCAAAATTTTGAAAGAGGCACCATTGCTTATGATAATTATACACTCAGCATGCTTATTTTGGTTACTTAATACCCAGAGGTAGATCAGAGTAACAAACAGAAAATGCATTTCCACTTTTAATGAATTTTAGGACCCCTTCTTGTGTTAGGGCGGGTCCACAGTTGAGATCCCCATCCCACAGGATCAAAATTTTGGATTTTTAAAAAAATTTATTTCATCATGCTGTTGATTAATACAAAAGTGCAGATTTTAAAGCATTAAAAATTTCAGACTATGTTACCCCCCCCCCAAGTACCTCTGTCCCAGGGGCCAGGTAATTAAGTATTTTTGAAAGAAGCAGTTTTTTTGTCATAAATATTTACTAAGATCATTGGCATTATACCCAACAACAAAAGAAAAGATTTTCAAAGAAATCATGCATTTTCACTATATAAACATAAGAGCCCCGCCCTAACTTAAGAAGCCCTAACCCAGGGACCCTGAAATTCAAAAATCTCAAAGAGGCATCCTTCCTCCTCATAACTACTCGTATGTACATAGCCTATAGTTCATTGGTTAAATACCAAGGTGCAGAAAAGAAGAGTTTTAAAGAATTTAGGCATTTTCACTACATAATCAATAAAAGCCCCGCCCTAACACCAGAACCTCCAACCCAGGGGCCATGAAATTCACAATTTTGGAAGAGGTAGCCTTATTCAACAAAACTCTGTACTTGGTTAGCTTATTTGATACTCAGGAGCAAAGAAGAAAATTTTCAAAGAAATATTTCATTTTTACTATATAATCTATATAGCCCCGCCCTAGCACGAGATCCCCTGACCCTGGGGCCATGAAATTCACAATTTTGGAAGAGGCAGCCTTATTCAACATAGCTATGCACTTGGTTAAATTATTTAATGTCCATGAACAGAGAAGAAGAAATTCAACGAATTGTTGCATTTTCACTATATAATCTATATAGCCCCACCCTACCACTAGAACCCCTGAACCTGGGGCCATTAAATTCTTATTCACAATTTGAAAAGAGGCAGTCTTATTCAACATCACAATGCACTTGGTTAAATTATTTAATGCCCACAAACAGAAAAGAAGAATTTCAAAGAATTTATGCATTTTCACTATATAATCTAAATAGCCCCGCCCTAGCACTAGAACCCCGAACCCTGGGGCCATGAAATTAACACAATTTCGTAAGGCGGTCATTTTCAACTTACCTATGCACTGGGTTAGTTTATTTAATGCCCAGGAGCAGAAAAGAAGAATTTCAAAGAAATAATGCATTTTCACTAAATAACATGTTTAGCCCCAACCTAGCTCTAGAACCCCTAATCCTGACGCCATGAATTTCACAATTTTGGTAGAAGACTCAATGTTGATTACAATCATACCAACAGTTTGACTGCTTGATGTCCAGGAGTAAAGAAGAAGATTTTTAAAGATTGCACTAATTTTAGTGGTTTTGGCCCACCCACCCCCCAGGCCCCAGGGGGGCAGGAACCATGAAATTCACAATTTTTGATTCCCTTTACCCATAGATGCTATATGCCAAATTTGGTTGAAATTGGTTCAGTAGTTTCATAGAAGAAGCTAAAAATGTTCAAATGTTAACGCACGACACACGACGACGGACGAAAACAGATAGCAATAGGTCACCTGAGTTTACTCAGGTGACCTAAAAACGTAATCTGGACTAATTTTGTCTCTCTCTTTTCGGCCACCAATTCTACATGCATGTGATTTTTTAACAAAAAACACAACCAACCCATTTCCAGCGTTATTTTTTTCCAGAACGATTTTTTACTCTCTGGCAATTAGTTTACAAGATCTCATAGAACTGAGACATTGTAAATTTTATGACACACTTGTAAATGTAATTGATTATTAGATGACAAAACGCTCAAATTTAAAAGTGCATCACTTCAAATTACACCAAGGTAAATGACCTTGTGACCTTGACTCTTACTATGTGCTAAAAATAGCTTTATCGAATTCTGTTGCCGGGCCGCCTAGTGTTTACATGTAACAAACACATCTTGTTAATGATTTTTTTTCGGGCACGTAGCCTCACTTTTTTCCCAACTTTATTTTCACTATTAGAAATGTTCATCGAAAGGTTAGTAGGCACCCTCACTTTTTACTACGGTAAAGTGATATAATGGAAACGTAGTATTGTATGCAAAAAAAATTGGAACAGGAAGAAGTTAACACTAAAAAATATTGGCCTATAACCCCTGATCCCCTCCCCCCTAAATAGGATTTTCGTAATTGGGCAATGGGGTTTTTTTTTGCTTGTGAACTTTTACAGGTAAGAAAAAAAGTTATATCTCTGCTCCCCCCCCCCCTAAAAACGATGCTACCTCACTGGTTTTAGACTTGTTGCATGAAACCTTGACATTTTCCCAATGTCAAGGTTTCACAGTACATCGGACACAAATTAACTATGCATCGGACGCTTTCTGATCAATCGGCAATACTTGGCTGACTCCTCTACGCTATTATGTGCGAGGTATGAGCCATCCGAGGAACTCCGAATGCTTTCCGATGCATAGGTAATGACTACCATTTTCATACAGCTGTTTTTTGTGAAGATAGAAAATAAAAACTCTAAATTTGCAATTAAAATACATATCAGTGACATAAATAACGTCTAGAATTTGACTAAATTCATTTCTTTTAACCTATGAAGAAATAACGCGAATTACCACATTCAGGCACGTAGCAACAGGGGGGCGGTGATTCCCCCCACCACTTTTTTCCCCAACTTTACTCATTCTCTAGGAAATGTTAACTGAAAGGCTGGTCCCCCACTATTACTAATGTTTTGGAAATGAAGGTAGTTGACATTGAGAAAAAAGCCCCCCCCCCCCCCCCTCACGAAATAGGATTTTCGACTTTGGGCAACTTTTCTTTTAATTTTGCTTTATCTTTTTATTTTTTTTTTTTTTGCATGTCAAATTTTTCAGGTAGGCAAAAAAAATCTCTGAGTGCCCCCCCCCCCCCCTTCAAAAACAATGCTACGTGCCTGACATTACAAGCATTTTAAAGTCTTTCTAACTTAAAGGAAAAGTAATGCATCTTGCATCTTTTCACATTTGTACAATGATATCGTCAATTACATGTGAGTAAAGGTTTGATTTTAAAATAAAATATACAAGTATATTCATATCAATAATTTATAAGCATTGTGATAAAAGTACCACATTTTCCCGGTTCAAATAACACTTGTACGATGCATGGTAAATGATGTCCGATCCACGGTGAATTCTGAGTCATTTTTTTTAAAAGTGGGCTTCTAATGATATTTTCTCAATAAAAAGCAAATATTTGTGTCCCAAATTTATATTTTATTCACAGACTTTGTGTTAATTTCCATTTTGATAATGTTCCGTCTGTAGTGTCCCATACAAAGTTAATATCGGATTTAACCATATGTACTGATGTAACACAAACTAATCAGCCATACTTTTATTTATAACATCAACTTCCGGTTGAGTACAAGGGAGATAATCACAATTAAATAAATGAGAGTTATCTTTCTTAGATCACGAAATATAATAAGTTTACTATAATAATCATACACTACAATCCTCCCCCTTTTCATTTAAACAAATATCAATTATTTCAATTAAATTGTAAATGGACAAATCTATTTAGCAATTAACTTTAACACAGTCAATGAATCATTACAGTGTTTATAAATCATTGAAAATTTATATGTGAACAAAGGTTTAAACAGAACATGTTATTTCATTACATAGTCCTTGAATTTCACCGGCAAAGAGCGTTGACGAACTGGTCGGGCTAATTGCGGTGAACTTGTCGTCGGATCTTGAACATTGCTGTCGGATTCCTCTGCTGATGAGTTTCCTGATGACGCTTCCTGGACATCATCTGAAATCGCACTTTTATCGCTCGCAATTTGATTAGGAACTGAATTTCCTGAACACAAATCTTCATTTCCATTGGAATTTTCACTTAACACATTTTCATTCACATTTTCACTTGACACATTCACAGATTCCTTGGAATTCACAAACTTTTTCAAATGAGACACATTTCTTTTGTAATGAACTCCCTCCATGGATTCTAACTCAACACTATTTCCATTTTTCTCGACAACTTTGAATGGATCACTATGAAATGTTGTAGATAACTTGTTTTCCTTGTTCTTCTTCATCAAAGTAAGATCACCAGGTTTTATGTCGCTAAGTGTAGCTCCTCTCTTAGCATCAGAATACATCTTCCCTTTTGCCTTCTTCTCCGCATCTCTATCTCTAACTCGGTAATCTGTCTCACGATAAGTGTGGATATCTGGTAGTTTTGTACGATTAACTCGACGGATCAACAACTCGGCGGGACTCACTTCTGTTGTGGTATGTGGTAATGAGCGATACATCAGCAAATAAGTCTGAAGTTCCGATTTCCAGTCCTCCTTTTTTTGCTTGTGCAATCTTCAGTCTCTTTAATATTGATCTGTTCTGACGTTCAATTTCTCCATTGGCCTGTGGCCACAATGGGGTGGTCTTCCTTTAGACTATTCCATTTATTTCGCAGTATGTTTTGAAATATTTGCTGACAAATTGTGGTCCGTTGTCTGTTGTAATACAAACAGGTAATCCATGTGTACTGAAAATCTTTGTCAACACTTCGACCATTTTCTCCGCCCGTTGTAGATCTCATCACAGCCAGATCAATCCATCGGGAATAATACTAGTAATCAACAATAGTAAAAATGTAGTCACCGGATGGTAACGGTCCTAGGAAATCAGCTGCTAAATGTTCCCATGGTCGTGATGGTAGTTCTGTTCTGTGCATAGGTTCCACTTTTTCAGGTTGTGATACTAGCTGACATCCATAACAAGCTTTGTTCCACTGTTCAATGTCTTGGTCCATTTTAGGCCACCAAACTTTGGATCGCAATCGCTGCTTCATGATAACAATTCCAGGATGTCCCTCATGACCTAGTGCCAGTACTTGGTCGCGTAATGACTTAGGTATGACAATCCTTGTCCCTCGTAGTATCAGATGTCCAACAGTACACAATTCTGATTTTACTGACAAAAAGTCTTTGTTCTGTAACTGATACCATTTCCCTGTTATCAAACATTCTCTCAAGTTCTTGAGATCCTCATCCTCCAATGATGCTCTCTCAAGCTCAGATACGGTCATTGCCATTGGAACAGCTTCCTCAATAACAAAGCGTAAGTATTCCTCAGTATCACTCGTCTTCGGATTTGGTGTATCTGTTGACAACATCCTTGACAATGAATCAGCTATGTTTGATTTACCCGGAATATGACGAACTGTGTAACTGTAGTTCTGCATCCTTAAAAACCATCTTTCTACTCGTGCACATGGTTTCGATTTGGGCGAGAAAATAAATTCAAGTGGCTTATGATCCGTTAACAGCTCAAAAGTCTTCCCCATCAGGTACATGTGAAACCGCTCACATGCCCACACTAAGCTGAGTGCTTCCTTCTCGGTTTGTGCGTATCTGCGTTCGACGTCTGTTAAGGATCTACTCGCATAGGAGATAATCTTAGGTTTCCCGTGTTGTTCCTGGACTAATACAGCGCCTAAGCCGACTGGACTTGCATCTGCAATAACTTGTGTTTTGGCATTCACATCAAAGTAGGCTAAAGTTGACACATTAGCTTAACAGTCTTTAAGTTTGTCAAATGCTTCGTTTTGTTCTCGTCCCCATGCAAATGACTGGTCTTTACGCAAAAGTCTGTTTAAGGGTTCTGCTACAGTGGACAGGTTTGGTATGAATCTGCCCGCGAAATTGACTAGTCCCAAGAAGCTTCGCACCTCAGATACTGACTGTGGTGTCCTGGCACTCCTAATAGCCTGAACTTTGCTGTCTGCTATTCCGATGCCATGTTCAGAGAGTACATATCCCATGAAATCGATCTTCTCCATATTGAATCGACACTTCTCAATGTTCAAAGTCATTCCGGAGTCTTCTAAACGTTTCAACACTGATTCTAGGTTACGTTGATGCTCTTGTTCTGTTGATCCATGGACCACAACATCATCATATATTGCATTCACACCAGGTAAGTCTCCTAATGTCTGTTGAATGATTTTGTTATACATTTCAGGAGCACAGTTCACTCCAAACAACAAACGTTTGTATCGATAAAGTCCTCTTGGTGTCATAAAGGTAGTTATTTCTCTAGAGTCTGGGGTAAGCTCTAACTGATGATAGGCCCACTTGATATCAAGTTTACTGTAAACTTTGCTCTGATTCAAGTCCTGCAAGATTTCGTCGACAGTAGGAATTTGATATCTCTCACGAACGACTGCCTCGTTAGCTCTTCGCATGTCGACACATATGCGAATATCTGAATTCTTTTTTGGTACAACCACAATTGGTGATACCCACTGACTTGGCCCTTTGACTCTCTCGATAACATCCATCTTCTCAAGTTCATCCAGTTTCTGGTCTAGCTTACTGCGTAAATGGTACGGTACTCTACGTACGGACTGAATTACAGGATGTACGGACTCATCAATTGGAATTTTAAGTTGGAAGTCTCTCAGTTTTCCAAGTCCTGTGAACACTTTCGGAAATTTCCCTAGTATCTCTGTTTTAATATCTGTGCTATTCACAGTGTGCACTGGTGCAACAGTACTTGTCTCTTGAATCTGTAGTACTCCAAGATGGGTAGAAGTATCATAGCTTAGGAGAGCTTGTCCACTTTCTTCTACAACAAAGAACTCGGCTGACACACCCCGGTCTCGCGTACACACATCAGCAACAAAACTTCCTGCGACAGTCAGTGGTTTGTTACTACCATAGGGATACAGTTTCTTTGTCGATGCTTTCGACTGTCTGTGACATTTCACTTTTTGTTCCTTGAGTTGTTCCCATAAGTGTCTGTCAATAACATTCACTGAAGCTCCTGAGTCGATGATGACTTTTGTATCAATACCGCCAATACTAACACTAAAGTCATTCTTTGAACGATCCTGGTTCCGAATAGTAAACACATAAGTTCTCTCAGACTCCTGACCTTGTTCTACTTCTGAAGTTTCAATATTTCGGACTGCTGCCCTCTTGGTTTTGTGCCACTTTGTCTTTGACTTGGTCTTGCAGCATGCTTCATAATGTCCTTCCATGTGACATTTCCGACACTTCTGTCCTCGTGCTGGACATTTCGGATCCGTGCGAATGTGACCATATTTACCACAAGCGAAACACTTTTTGTCTTGTTTATCCTGTTGCTTAAAGTCATGTTTATGTTTGTATCTACTCACTTTGTTTATGGTTTCTTGTTCTGGTTTGTGTTCCATAGTCACTGCTCTTTTGTCAGCTGCTTCCAAACTCTGTGCTGTTTCTCTCAGTTGTTTCAGTGTCACATTATTTTTCTCTAACAATTTCCTTCTCAGTCTTTGAGAATAACACTTCTCTATCACTTGATCACGTATACTTTCATCAATATTCGTAAAGTTACAATACACCGCTTTCTGTCTCAGTCTAGTGATAAATTGTTCAACAGTTTCTGTCGCTGTTTGTGCCATAGCGCGAAATTGTGATCTTTCAAACGTGTGATTTACCTGAGGAGTAAAGTGTTTATTCAATGTCGCCAACGCCACGCCATACACGTTTTCTCCATCACCCGGTTCGGGGACTTCAAGCGTATAGAAAATATCCTGTACGTCCATCCCTGCCTCATGTAACATTAAAGCTTTCTTTTGCGCTGGGTCTTCTATTCCCTTTCCGCTTGCAAAGAGCTCAAATGCACGTGCCCACCGTGTCCAACGGATTCCTACCGAATTCACATCTCCATGTGGGTCAAACTTATCAATCCTACTCACATCTGTCAAGATAGGTTTCGCATCTGCCATTGCTCGACTCTGGTTTATCCTTTGGTTTATCCTCGTCGCCAGATGTAGTGTCCCATACAAAGTTAATATCGGATTTAACCATATGTACTGATGTAACACAAACTAATCAGCCATACTTTTATTTATAACATCAACTTCCGGTTGAGTACAAGGGAGATAATCACAATTAAATAAATGAGAGTTATCTTTCTTAGATCACGAAATATAATAAGTTTACTATAATAATCGTACACTACACCGTCGGTATCGATATTGCTAGAACTTGTTGAAGTATAACGGTGTTCGATGCATGATGAATTCACCCTAGTCTATCTTGTTTAGATAACCCCACACCAATAAATTTTGTAAACTGTGTTCTTGTCATTTTTTTTTATAACTTAATATATATTATGTAAGTATAATATAAATCCTTTATGTACTCGCTATTAATTTACTATAATATTATATAAAACGCTAATTAAAACCTGTTCACCATCTCGAGAAAACAAATAAGTATATATTATACAATTATTGCTGGTTTTTGAGGTCAATACAATGATTTAGCCATCTGAGGAGTACAATATTCACCAAGCCCGAAGGGCGAGGTGAATATTGTACTACGAAGATGGCTAAATCATTGTATTGACCGAAAAAAACAGCAATAATTGTTTTATTATATGATTCACTGATAAAATGATACAGCTCAAGACTTGTTTGCATTTTATTAAGTCCTTGCCAAATACATGAGAGTAGCAGAATTAAAATGTTAATAAACCTTACCAGTCGTATCAATTTGAAATTTTTTTTTAAAAATCAATTTTAGTAGCCAGGAAAGAAATGTATAATGTCAGTCTTTTTATAGGATAGATTTTGAAAGGAAGGAGTATCGTCAGGGAAAACTGACTGCCAAAAAGTAATGTTCAGTAAAAGTGTCGGAGGGGGGGTGGGGGTTGACCACCCTCACCTAAAATATATATTCGCTTATGTTTTGTTCACATGAAAATAAAAATCACAGTCGTTTAAATAGCTTTCTAAAACAATTTGTATCCATTTGGAATTTACCAATCTATTTTTAGATCAATGTAGAGGAAATAAATCCTTGTATTGACCTGGAACGTCACGTGCAGGTCAATACAACGTAATATTTTTCTAACATAGTTGGATCTCAGCCAATCAGAGAGATGGAAATTATTCAATCATATATATATATATATATATATATATATATATATATATATATATATATATATATATATATATATATATATATATATATATATATATATATATATATATATATATATATATACAGAAACCGACATAAAAATTATTGCTGAAAGGGTTAAAATATACGCCAACAAGGTTTCAACATGATTTTATTTTGGAAGAATTGAAATTAGTACTTAATAACAATACTTTTGCATTTGCCGAAAACCATTACATCCAAACCAAAGGCACTGCAATGGGTACCAAGGTAGCGCCAACATATGCAACCTTAACTTTAGGCTACCTTGAAACGTTACTTAAAAGTGAACTTATTAAAGTATGGGGAGAAGAATTTGCTGATTTGATAGAAACAAACTGGAAAAGATTCCTGGACGATTGCTTCATTATTTGGCACGGCGACATGGAGAAATTAACGCAATTTTATAAAATACTAAACGGGTTAAACTCCAATATTCAATTCACTTTAGAGATGAATGATGAAAAATTACCATTTCTTGATGTGTTAGTGGAGAAAAAGAACACAAGGATAACTACTGATATATACTACAAAGCCACCGATACACATCAGTATTTACACTTCGGCTCATGTCATCCAAACCATACATAATCGACATGTATGTTAACATTTCAACATGTACAAATACCCCTAATGAAGAGAAGTAACCTGCATTATAATTGTTTATTGTTACCTGGCAATAGGAAGCGTTCAGGATTCACCACTTCCTCCGAAGATTTTTCGGTAAATGTGTATATCTTGTTTGCATGTTTATCGATATTTAGAGGGGAAAGTAGAAACTGTTGATTATTCATTCTATAAAATATTTGCTAAAAACATGAAAAAGAAGAGTTAAAAACAAATTCAATTTTTTATAAATTTTTTTATCTATTGGAATAATAACGCAACATTATTAATCCTTTCGATCAGTTAAAAAGACGAATAAAGCCTTCATGTTTTAGGAAAAGATGAAAATTTTTCAAATGAAATCATATTATCTCTAATTTTTTGTTGTATCCTAGTACTACTAACAATGTTTAGGTGGGTATAAGCAACTTATACTTTGATTAGGTTATAGAAATAAAATTAATTAAATTGATTCAAATAAAACTTGAAACTGATGAAATATTTAGCATGTGGCTAATAAATCTATTTAAGCTATTTTAATGTGTCATTTAATCAGCCAATCAAATCACAACTGTACTGTTGAAAGGACTTTGTAATTTGAAAGGAAGGCAGCCAGAGAAAAATAATAACTTACCTGAAATAAGTTGACAAGCAAAAAAAAATGCCCAAACTCGAAAATCGTATTTCGTGGAGGGGGGGGGGTGGAATATGCCAGCAGGAAGTAAACATGCAGTGGAATTAACACCATATTCAAGGCTGTTTGTACAACCCACTGCACCCCCACTCCAACAGATTTAAGACAGGTGCAATATTCACTGGACTATTCTTATGCGCTTTCGATTCCGCTCCACGTGCATTACATGTATGACAAGATGATTTACAGTGTTTTTGGAGAACATATTTGGCCATGTATGGTATACTTAGTACATGTACATATTATGCTCTCTCTCCTCGATCTTTCTTTCTCTTTCTCTCTCAAAATGATTTGTTTCAAGTCACTTGAGATCCACATCTGTCCAGAATTAATGTGAGAGGATTTTGGTCACAAATGAATGAAAAAATGAATGTCACACAAGGCGCACGAAACGCGTGCTTAAAAGAGAAAGCAGCATTACCCCTCCCTCAGAAATTTTACTTTTTTAAAACGTTATCCTGTGCAGAATTCTTTATCCTGATAATTAATTTTTTCATCCAAAAAAATATATATATATATATATATCCACACTGCAAATTACGAATTCACTCCTGGCTATGCATTCGTATCTCCACAACTGAAACAAATACGCATATAGGAAAGGTTTTAATTGTATTAATTTTAGCAAAATTGTCGTCTACAATCAAGCAGGAAAAACACATTGTCAATTATTTTCAAATAATTTTTTTCCTACAATAGACATTTATTACCATGGAGACTTGCTATCAGTTAAAAATTTTACTTCGTATGCAAGTCCTGTACATTGATAAAAGGTGGTGGATATTGAAATTCCTTTAACAAGTAAAATATATAGAGATGGAGAGAAGTTGATTGATTTGTGAACTTGCTTTCCACCACGAGGGGCGACAAATGTACATTTTCAGAACATAAGAAAGGGGGAGGGTCCTTCCAATTAGTGGAAGTTCAATGCTAGGCTAGGGGTAATGCTAATTGTAATGGTAATGCATTGCAATGCATTACATGGACTCAAAATAATGCTAGTAATGTGTAATGCCCAAAAATTTGCATTACATGTAATGGTAATGGTAATGCATTACTAAATAAAATCCTGTGTAATGCTAGCATTACATAGCATTACACAGCATTATTTCGTAAGATATGTACATATTTTAAGAAATTTAAATGGACATGGATGATAGAAATTTTTGTTTAGGTTATTTATTTATTTATTTCTATTTTTTCTTTGCAAATAATACAATTAAATAAAATGTTAACCTATTTAGATAACATTTCTGTATCTATTCAAATACACTTTTTATTCTGTTGAAAGTACACCTACCTTACATTTAAGTTTTCAAACTTATTTCAGATAAGAATTGATTTCAAAGAATTATATGAAATAGTTTTAAAATTTATTTTTTTTTATCGCATATGAGATACACTAATTAAGGTATACTGTAAACTGATAATTGGTTCCTTTTGAATAGATAGAGTATCACCAAAACACACTAGGCCTCTGGCTTATGTAACGATTAAAACAATGCATTGTTTAGAGAAGTGCTTCAAATTACCAGTCCCTTTCTCCTGCTGTGTTTATAAAACATTAATTAAGCTGGTCTAGCTTGTACTGACCATGAAAAATCCATCATACCAAAGAAAAAGAAGCCATGCAGGCATTCTATGATTCACTGTGCTTAACAGATCAATGGATTTTTTTTTCATATGGTACTAATCAAAATAGCCTATATCCTTTATTATTAGATATTTTAGGCAGGGGTTAAAATGCCCCATAAGTTAAATTACTTCATGCCCAAAAAGTGGATATTGTACATGTGTTATAAAACTGACAATTCAGAACTTTGAACTTTCTTTGATTGTAAGTTAATGACATTGTGATATATACAAAAACTTGAAATCAAAGAACTGCGAACGATAGTATTGTTCTCCCGCCTACCTCCAAGTCAATTCTCAAAAGTTAACATATTCGATTAAATTTTAATATTTTTATAGATAATTATATGGATTTTCATAAAACATTACTTATTTGGGAAAACAAAGAGAGATAACTCTAAAATTTTGGTAAAACTTGTGTTTTTCACTATAGAAATCAACGGAAAACGGAAAATATTTTTAAAACATCTTTCCCCCCAGTGTCACAAAAATTCCTTTTTACAGGTAATTTGGAATGTTATTTCACGAAATCATACCAAAGCTTTTTGTGTGACACGGGGGGGAACATATGTTTATTGACAAAAAACGATAAAAATGCTTATTTTCCACCAATTTCAAAGCGATTTACATCTGAAACATGATATTTTATTGATATATTTATGTTTTATTTATTTGTCTAAAACATTAGAAAAGATATAAGGAACATTTAATCATTTCCAAGACTAGTTCAAAATATGGTGATGCTTGAAACTCCGATTTTAGAGGAAAATATCGTCTACCCCCCTTTTTTCAAGAGCTGGAATTATGGATAATTTACTGTTTAGCACTGGTATTAAGACAATTATT